GAAGTCAGAGCTGTAATATATGAGTAGCAAGTATCATACAAAAACACTTCACAGATTTTCTGTCTCAGCTAATACTTGATCTGAAAGTTCCCGATACACTTGTAATCTTAAAGGTTCCATCTGTATGACATCCAGATCATTGTTCCCGCTCTGTATGTCTTCAGTCGAAATGGATCTTGTAATCGAAGATACGACTGCGGAGGTACTGAGCCTGATTAGTCTCTTTACATCCCCCAACTTTCTGCCTAAGAACTCTGTTAACGTTTTGTCGTATATCAGCGGGTTGATAATAGAGTTAAGTGGAAGAACTATCATCGCATACGTAACATACCATTTAGTTGCATCAAAAACGCCAAAATTATGCATACCGCTTATAACAATAAATGGTACCCAGCAAAGAAAATCAGTCGCAACAATAAGAGTAATTTTATTCTGTACAGATCTATTGTCCCTCACTCTTTCTGGGGTATGATGCTGTCCTGATCACCGTGAAGAAATCCTTGTCTGGATATTGATAACTATGTAGCAAAAAGTGATGATGATGAAGCAAACTAAGTTCACACCAAGCATAAGCCAAACTACTGGATCTCCTTTATGATCAGTTATGTCTGCTCTACTTTCTATCGATTGTCTGATTCTTCTTGCATCGTCACTCCGAACAAAGTACTTGAATAAGCAAACACCGTCGTTACCATAAAAATGAACTGGACGTCTACTCAAAAGTCCATGTTGTTGAGTGAACATACCGTCCACCTTATCACCGATTTGTTTCCAGGTTAAATCTGTAGTTATGTTAGTGGTATTATAATGAGCTTGAAGAACATTAACATGTTTCTCTTTGTTGGGGAAGCCTATGAACACTTTGTAGATGGGGTCATAGTACATTCCCTGTACAAAATATTCCTCTAATGAAGGTATCAATGGCGTAACAGATATAGCTAGTGAGACTGTGATAATTCCGGTGACTAGGGAAGCGAGTTTGACAGTAGTACTTCTGTTTGCAGGGCCTGGAATACTCATTTTCTTAAAAGTAAGCTTATACATTCTGATGATACTTAAAGCTGTCATTGCGAAAAGGGACACTTGTGATCCAACCGTGCTGATGACCCCTAATATGGAGCATGCTGTTCCGGTGTACCATTCGGCTTGATTTCTGCAAAACCAGTTCCCATTTACAAAACTATCATAGAAAGACAACATAATTAAGTATAATCCGATAAATAGATCCCCTGATCCGATAAGACTGACCATTGCCTTGTTAGTTAACATACTTCCAGTCCTACTATGATGAAGAGTTGTCAACCCACGGAATACGGTGTACGAGTTGAAGATCAATGCTAGTAAACCCATGACCCAGCATAATACCTGCAGTATCCAGTTTTCAAGTATTCTTTTCTCACAACCGGTATTACATTCATCTGAGAGGTCAAAGCAATCGTATATGCCGTCACATCTCTGCGATAAGGAAATAAACTGATGTTTAGTTGAGTTCAAAGTGTCTTCACAAATCATGTGATTTGCACAGTTCAACTCGTCACTCATGTCCCCACAGTCATCTATGAGGTCACACATTTGCTTGTATTCCACACACCTACTGTTATTGCATTGAAAATAGTCCTGGTGATATTGGCCTTTCGTTGAGTTCTCAACAAAAGTTAGAAAAGAGTTGTTAGCAAGTGTATATACTCGATCAGGATATTGTCCAGGACATGAATTGTACAACAATGTTCTGTTTTTATTTAGAGGACATGAGGCATCTAGACATAGATCCATGCAACTGAGAAACAGGTAATATTCACCAAACAAATAGCTGCAATTAACCTTAGATGTCGGAACAATTAACTCTGACTTTGTAATTCCGAATACATCTGCAATCCAGGGTTGTATGAATTCTTTCACTACACAATTAGAGTCATCGCATAAATCTCGCCTTAATCCCTGATAAAGAGCGGTCTTATTGATCGTTGGGAAATCTCTAGCGATCCTACAAACCTCAATCTCTGCACCGTCACCACACGTCTCCACTCCATCACAGAGTTGTTCGAATTGAACGTATGGTTTATCACCTTTCTGACACAGATAGACGTTTTTACAAGTTTTATCACTTTCTTTAAAACGATAGGTTTTGTCAGTTTGATTGCCACAGAAACTTAAGCCCCCAAGCTCAACCTGTTCATCCATTCCATCCATACAATCCACCACATTGTCCATTATCCAAGAAACTGGTATTCCGAACTTTGTATTGAAGTTAAACCTACGGACACACTGAAATTCCTTCGTCATGTATCCACACATGTCATGAAGTTCGTCACTTCCATCAGGACAATCCCACACTCCGTCACACATCCTGTGTTTGTGTACTCTACAATCAGTGGAAGTAGACGGTGATATACAGCTGTTTTGAAGGTTATCGTCACATAACTTTACTGGTAAACTAGCCCTTTCATCATATTCATAACACAACATGTACTTAGAAAAACTCGAGTTATACCCATTAATATCACAATACCCCCCTACTCGCTCACTATCAGAACAGTTAGTCTGATCCAGATAGTTCAGACAGTATGGATAGATTTTCTTCTTTATATCAAATACTGAGCACCTAGTATAGTCCAATATAGGTACTGTTCTAATCTCTTCTAACCACACTTTACTGAAGTAATGTGTACACGTGTGTGGGGTTGTTTCATTAACATTACAGTCCTGTACTGTGAGTTCATCCTCTCCTTTATCACACATCTTGTATCCTCCACATATATAGTGTACAGGAATATACAACTTCCTCCCCTGATAAGTGCATTTAACTCCGTATTTATACCCGTTACAATCACTTTCATCTATACAATAGTCAGAGTCACATTTATCATTACAGAGCTCTCTTGTTAGTATAGCAGTAGGAGGACGAGCAGTAGAAGCATGACTAGTTACAGTGTACTCTTGTGGGTCAGGCGTTCTATTGATTTGTGATACAGGACAATCCTTATCTACACTGCAGTTCTCATCACATCTGATATATTTGTTATCGCAAAACAAGCCTCCACACAGCACATTCGTGTTTGTTATTTTTGTGTTTAATCCACATGCCTGATACACGTGGGGATCATTCTCACACACTGTAGAAACACTCTCAAGCTGCCTCCCACTTTTCTGTTCAAAGTACACATCAGAGTGGGTACACTTGAAATAGTGTCGTTTCCTCTTTTCATCAAAACACACATTTTTCAGAAATCCGCTTACTGTTGCTACTGTACAATTTTCTCCTGATTTTCTCAGTTTGCTCACTATTCTGTAGTCAACACAGTCAATACAAGAACAATGGTCAAGTGTCCTACACCGTTCTCCACTAGTACAACACGGGTTCTCCCCATCAGGGTTACACTCACCAGGACTGCCATCAGGGAGGGGATACCTACTACCACATTTACCGTCATATCTCCACTTTATCTTACCTCCTGATTCTCTCCAGTCCCTATATATAACTCTGTAGTTTACACAGTTATTACAAAAGCAGTGTCTAGCCGTGTTACCACACCATCCATTATACCAGTCATGTCCATATTTACTACAACACGGGTCCTCCCCATCAGGGTTACACTCACCAGGACTGCCATCAGGGAGGGGATACCTACTACCACATCTACCGTCAGATCTCCACTTTATCTTACCACCTGATGGAGTGAAGTATTGTACTACTGAGTGTTGCATGAATAGTTAATAATGTTAACATCAATTCATGTATAATTCCGCTGTCCTATATTTAAATAAGGCAATAAAATTGTACTCATAGAAGCACTAAACGTATGCACTTGTACGTTTAAAATTGTGCACGGTTAAATTTGTTAAATATTTTAATTTTATTTAAGGACACGTTCATTGAATTTGAAGTTTGAGGATATTGGTAAAAATTAGTGGCCCTATTAAATAGCACGATGGTCGATGAGGTAAAATTTGTCACACTATGAAACTAAATAAACCCTCCATGGTTAGGATAATCGTCTCATCCTCTAGGTAAACTTTGTCACATAACGATATTTTTATCAGATGATAGGATATCGCATAAATTCGGCCGGCAGTGAGATTCCGACATTGTCACACTATAAAAAGGTGACAGAGTTAACATCGGCCCCTTGCTGCCGTGTTTGACAACATTTTTGAATTTCCAGTTCATAGAATAGTTTCATATGGCAATCATCTACATATTTAGCGACTTTTTTCGTTGAAAGGTACCATGAGAAAAAACCTGGTTCGTCATTTGGAAGAGAACATGATGATCAATACGAACCAGCATGGGTTCAGAAAAAAGAGGAGTTGCATGACGCAGCTTCTCAGTCACATCGAACAGATCTACAAATCACTCAACAATGATGAAGAAGTTGATGTGATTTACCTCGACTTTGACAAAGCTTTTGACAAGGTTGACGGTTGACCATGCAGTGCTGCTAGCCAAGCTTGGTCGATACGGAATTGGTGGTCAGGCTTTAAGGTGGATCAAAGAGTTTTTGCTAAACAGAAAACAGACAGTCGTAGTTGAAGGTCGCAAATCATCCACAAGGGACAGTCCTAGGACCGATCCTATTTATTCTGTACATCAACGATCTGTTGAACAGCATTAGCGACACAAAGCTGATTGGGGCTATCCGAGGAATGAGTAGTGTAGAGTTACTGCAAGATGATCTAAACATAGTCATCGAGTGGTCACGTGTTAACAACATGGAGCTACACGAACAGAAGTTTAAGGTTGTAAACTACCCCCTGAATGGATCAAAAGCTCTAAGAGAGCTCCCGTTCTACCCAGAGACTGTTGAGTATACTACACCAAAAGGACACGCAATATCACCACAGGAAACTGTCAGAGACCTTGGAGTGTATGTTAGCAGCAGCATGGGGTCCTCGTATTGATAAGACAGTTCAAGGAGCTAGAAAGATGGCAGCTTGGATATTGACTGCCTTTAGAGACCGGTCACAAGTAGTCATGCTGATTGCTGACGTTATACAAAAGCATGGTTCGCTCCAAGCTAGAGTACTGCTGTCCAGTCTGGAACCCTGCAAAAGTCACAGAGATACAAAAGCTGGAGACTGTACAGAGATCCTTTATTAGAAAGATATCTGGCTGTCGTGATCTCCAGTACTGGGACAGGCTGAAGAAGCTTAAGTTTATGTCTCTTCAGAGGCGGAGAGAGCGTAATTCTATTATTCATGTATGGAAGATTCTTAATGAACATGCTCCGAACGATACGGGCTTCGAGTACAAGTCACATCAAAGGCACGGTATTAAGGCAGAGATCCCAGCCATGAACAAAAGCGCACAGTTCTCTGTAAGAACAGATTACGACAACAGCTTTAGAGTTAAAGCAGCTCAGCTCTTCAACGTGCTCCCATCGGAGCTCCGAAGGCATATTTATGGAACAGTACCCAGACACGCCACCAGTTCCGGGCTACACTCCGACAAACGATAACTCAATGCTGAGCTGGAGGAGGACGCACTCGATGCAGTTGTCCTGAGCACGCCCTGCCAAACTCACCAAAACGTACGTAATTACCACCTGGTCAATTACGTCACACATTTAAGAAATTTATACGAGGGATGTTTATGACACCCTGACAAGGAATGCCAAATAGTCTAGCATTGTTTTTTAACCTGAATGTATTGGGAATTGCTATAATATCTTATTATTATAAGCAGATAAAAACACATGAGGCACAAATATTTTAAAATGTGATAGCTTTTGACCCCTAAAATGATTAAATTGCAATATTTTTGTACGAGACTTCAACTTTAGGTCATACTTTAGGACAGCATGACCATGTCACAACTTAACCATTTAATGACCATGTCATAACCATGTCATAACCATTGTTCACTGGTCACTAAATAGCCGGTTACTCATAACCATGTCACAAGTGTGGTCAGTGACTGGTCACTAGCTAGTCGGTTACTCATAACCATGTCACAAGTGTGGTCAGTGACTGGTCACTAAATAGCCGGTTACTCATAACCATGTCACAAGTGTGGTCAGTGACTGGTCACTAAATAGCCGGTTACCCATAACCATGTCACAAGTGTGGTCAGTGACTGGTCACTAAATAGCCGGTTACTCATAACCATGTCACAGGTGTGGTCAGTGACTGGTCACTAAATAGCCGGTTACTCATAACCATGTCACAAGTGTGGTCATTGGCTGGTCACTAAATAGCCGGTTACTCATAACCATGTCACAAGTGTGGTCAGTGACTGGTCACTAAATAGCCGGTTACCCATAACCATGTCACAAGTGTGGTCAGTGACTGGTCACTAAATAGCCGGTTACTCATAACCATGTCACAAGTGTGGTCAGTGACTGGTCACTAAATAGCCGGTTACTCATAACCATGTCACAAGTGTGGTCAGTGACTGGTCACTAGATAATGCCCACATACTGGCCACTACACATTAGGTGGTAACTTTTGGGCTACTAGAAATGCTAGTAGCCTAAAAAATTAAGAGTGGCTACTAAGTGGTAATTTAGCAAAATTAACCTCAACATTGTTAAACATGAGTTCCAATTTGCTGAATAATAACCTACCGATCATTTCTGGAAGAATATTGAATTCTTATCAAGATATGGTTATCTTTGTTCGGAAATTTAACCTATTAACGATTTCATATAATTTTTGTGACAATTTTCGCATTAACTGCCCTTAACTTGAATCAACGCAAAATCTATACAAAAGGTCGTTTATGACCTCATATAATTTTGGTGACAATTTTCGCATTAACTGCCTTTAACTTGAATCAACTGGATTGTCCTTCTATAGAGTTTCCCGCTTTTCAATAACAAATCAGATATGAATGATTTTGGCAATTCACCAAAAATTTCAAATTCCATAATATAATGTGACAGAATTTACCTCATTTCCCAATAACCAAGTGCTTGTATTAGCTAACTTTTGAAAACAACATATTTTAGGGCTATGATCGGTAGAACAACCATCAAATAATGAGTTGAAAGGGGTTTGAGGACAACTAGCAGTAGAAAAAAGTTACCTTATTGGACCTTATTTGGACGGACATTAATTGAACGCTGGAGGCCCTAACGTTCATCTAAATGTCCGTTTAAATAAAGTCCACTCATTTAAGGTCCTTCCGTTGAATTTTTTTCAACAATTTTTCCACTTCTAATTTTTTGTCCAGAATATGACAACTATGAGAACTATATTTTGCCGTAAGTTAAGGACGGAAAGGTTCTCCTTGGTCTACCGGAGGCACAGAAAATCATACTAATATTATATGATGATTTCAAGGGTCACTTGGTGGAAAAGGTCAACGAAATTATGGCACTCAACAACATAGGTAGTTCATGAGCTAGTCCCCGGCAACATGACAAATTTGTTCCAGCCTCTAGATATTACGGTAAATCGTGTTGCCAAGGACATTGTCCGACGTTGTTATCAGTTATAGTAGGTAGTGCGCCATCGACGAATTTCGTCAAATTACGTGTTTTCTACACCTACTTTTGCTCCAAATGCCGCGCACCGTCAAATATGGTACTTAGGCGAAACTCACTGATCATTCCAAAAAGGTATGGTACAAAAATATTGAAAATCCGAGCAAATTTATTTTTATCGTGCACCCCCTAGTTATAGTTCATATTACTCAGGGGAGGTAAGGAAACAGTGCGGGGTAGTTTGATAAAAAAGAAGATTTCCATAAAGCTAGAAATCACTGATGCTTTAAGCATGGAATATTTAATGCACGAAAACCCATTTGATGAAGATGATTTGTGATATTAGACAATAATCATGTACACACATTTTAACATGTTTACTGATTAAAAACTGCTTTTCTTGCTTACTGTATAAAAAATGGTTTTAAAAATTATTTGCAGAAATAAAAAAAGTCAAAAAATGAAAATAATTCGGATTTTTGATGGTTTTGAATGCCTTCGTTCATATTAATGTCCGTTCATAATTATGTCCGTTCATTTAATGTCCGTCCAAATAAGGTCCGATAAGGTATCATATTTATAGTGTGACAAATTTGACGAAGTATTGCCTTATAACCGGTCAATAAAAACACTATTTTAAAAATTTACCAATATCATCAAACTTCAATGAACGTGTCTTTAAAAAATTTCAAATTTCTTACCTTGACAGAAGATGCCCTGAACTAAGACGATCAGTAGTGCGATCGAAAGTTTGACCCTCATTCTCGTTCTACTTGATTTCTTGAGTTGAGATCTTTAGAATTTGGCTAATTGAATCCTTGAATTAATTAAGTGCAACATGAACATTTTATTTAAAGTAATTTCCAAAAACAAAATGGGTATATGAAAGATAAAAAGCAGAATAAAATACTGTCAGGTACAAAACAGTTGATAATCTATCACTCAACAGTCTGGTCATTATGAATAATTAACGTCGAATAGTTTGAATGAGGGGCTGATATTTTTATTAATTATTGCTAATAATCGTTTTAAACAATGTAAAATGGCCCAAATCTGAAATAAACAAGCAGTGAACAGAAATTACAAGCGAAATAATATCATAAAGCCTATTTACAGCAAAGGTTCACTATTATGTTGAAAGTAAAATAATCACAAAAGTTCGTTTGTAAATATAGTGTGGAACTGAGAGGATTGATGGTTTGAAACCGACTGAGCGCACCTCAGTTTAGTTCGTCAACCCTAAACTGTAAAGAAATACCCGTCCTGGTACGTACTACCCCTAGTACTACCCTTTTAACCTGGTATATAGCGACTATGAGTATTGTAACCTGGGTAACTATAGCGACTATGAGTATTGTAACCTGGGTAACTATAGCGACTATGAGTATTGTAACCTGGGTAACTATAGCGACTATGAGTATTGTAACCTGGGTAACTATAGCAACTATGAGTATTGTAAACTGGGTAACTATAAACTATAGCGACTATGAGTATTGTAACCTGGGTAACTGTAGCGACTATGAGTTTTGTAATCTGGGTAACTATAGCGACTATGAGTACTGTAACCTGGGTAACTATACATAGCGAATACTCCAGCTCTAGCTGTCTTTTGTCTCTGCTATTATCCTTTCCCTCCAATATTAGCTATTTCCACTGACCTAAATCTCATCAAGCAAATTCAGGCTTTAGCATTCTTCAGTTACCTCCAGGCTCCAACTCTACCTTGTTGCTGCCCTCTTCAACCAATTGTATCTTCTAGCCTGCTAGCTATCACCAGTATCCTCCAAATCTAAATTTTATAGCAACCTTTTGCTTCCTTTTGTAAAAAAGGGCTCTATTGTAGGATGCTGATGCTATATGGATAGAGTAGAATGCAACTGGCGTTGCTGAAAAATGCTAAGTTTCTTGAAGAAATGGATGGAGCAGGAAGTTATTGGCAGAAGAATTGGAATAGGAGGCTTCAAGTGGCAGCTGGATGGAGCAAAGGGTTAGAAACTGACCGGTCTAAGGTTTTGACTGCCGGACCGGAAAAAACCGGATATTCCGGTTTTCTGCATTTGGCCGGACCGGAACCGGGTTATAAGAATAAGATATTTAAGGCTGCCCGAAATTGCCGGATAATTGAGATTAATCCTTGATTGTGGGTTTTAATCAATTCTAATATTAAAAGCCATGTGGACACAATGAGAAAGAGCTTACAGTCCGACTAACTGTGTTCTTGCCTTATTTCAAATTATAACCAATTTTCTGCTCTGCGAGCAGCAGTTACTTGTTGATATGTTGTGCGACCACTGCAGAGGTCACTGATTGATCTGCTGTATGAGCAGAACTAGAAACGAGTTGGAATAAATCAAAACGCACATTGCAAGAACTCACTGCGCTTTGCCTAGCACAAGTGTACAAATTGCCTTAGAAGTAAAGCCCAAAATCCAGCAGCCAGCTCTCAGCCAGCTCTCGATGTAACCGAGGATAATGTCCAAAGTTTGGCATAATGGCCTTGACATAAGGGGAGTTAGCAACGGGTTTACTAATTGCTTGCCACAATTATAAAGCAGGTACCCTCTGTTTTAAATGCTCATAAATAAAACATAAATGGTAGCTGTTTTGACGCTCTGTGTTACACAAAATCTCACAAGAACGGGTCTTGAACATTCGCTGACAGATAACAAGCGACTTTAGAGGCGTGAAATTTACTGGTCACCGAGAACACTGACTGGATGCTCCTTAGAAAAAATGTACAAAAAAATATACATTTCAGGAACATTTAAAAAAATTTCCGGTTGAATATCCGGCCAAATTCTTGGATACCGGATCGAAACCGGACCCGGATGCGGACATTAAGTTTGAAAGATCTGTTGGTTGGCTGGGTGGTGTAGTGGTAACACGATCCCCTCCCACCCAGAAGGTCCTTGGTGTCGTAGGACCAACCCCCTTCACATATAGTATACGAGTATAGTACCTTGGTACAGAGTGGGTTAAGTTTACTGGAAAGGATATAAGCCCCTCAGGCTATCTCAATACCGGGAGACCAT